ACTAAGCAGAAGTACATCATTTTAGCGGTTGTAAACGTGCCTGTGCTAATTTCATTGTCTTCGTCAACACCATCAAACTTGAATTCGTCTGGGTTCTTACCTTCGTCAATGAGAGCTTCTCTCAGACGTGCAACTAGTACTTCTTTGTTGCCACTTGTGACAAGGCTTCGTTTCTGTAGTTCTTCTCGTAGTTGAACTACGTTCAACCCACACAGTTTTGACATCGTGTTCTTTTTCTACGAGTAGCAATTCGCTGGTCGAAGATCCCACTTCTGACACCAATGTTATAATACTCGCTGTCGTAACCGGTTTACGATGCGACGGGTTCAAATCTTCGATTGAATAAAATACTCCAAACAGTTATTAAACTTTATTTACAAAAGAAATCAACTATTATTAGTTATTAAACTTTATTTACAGAAGAAATCAACTAATCGTTTATTTTCAGTAAATTCGCACTAACGCAACAATTAACTTTTAAATCTTTCAAAATCTATCGCTATGACAACGTCAACAAACAAATCAAATATCGCTTTAAATAATTCACCGAATCGCTATTCACAAAATCACGAATTTCACTAATCACGAATTTCATTAATCACGAATATCACTAATCACGAATATCACTAATCACGAATATCACTAATCACGAATATCACTAATCACGAATATCACTAATCACGAATATCACTAATCACGAATATCACTAATCACAGATATCTTGCTTATATACTCTTCGCAAGCGTGGTTTCTAGATTCTTCCCGATGGTCCGATTCCAGCATACTCTAGAACGTTCCAGTCACTAGAACATTCTAGAATACGCTAGAATCTGGTGCGTTCGGTAGCACGGTTATAACAATATATACATATAGCTACATAAGCACATAATTTAAGAACATTGCATGTTAAAGGTTAGGCTAAGCATACATGACACATAATAACAACATCACTAATTGTGAAGTGAGTTGGATTTTTTTCTATATGCATAACATGGGTTATGCATAAATTTTAAGCTGACCTTTGTGTACAAGAAATTGTGCACTTATATATAATAGTTTATGACGGATGATACAGCTACAAAGGCTATATACATATATACAAAGGCTATGTATACATATATATACATATAGCTACATAAGCACATAATTTAAGAACATTGCATGTTAAAGGTTAGGCTAGGCATACATGACACATAATAACAACATCACTAATTGTGAAGTGAGTTGGATTTTTTTCTATATGCATAACATGGGTTATGCATAAATTTTAAGCTGACCTTTGTGTACAAGAAATTGTGCACTTATATATAATGGTTTATGACGGATGATACAGCTACAAAGACGCCTAATTTAAAAACAATACATTAGTTAAGCATTTTTTCATTATTGGTGAATTTTATAAAAATGGCTGAAAATAAATCCGGAGTATATATGTTTTATTGGCATGCACATTTCTTTGTGCCATAATTTTTATGCATAAATTATTGACTGAATACTTTTATTTGTATAACATGGTAACATGGTCAAGCAGCGTGAGCGCTAGAAAAGTTCACGTGTGAATTTCATGTTTATTAACTCTGAGCATGTTATAATGATGTTATCATGTGTTTAATTATAGCGCATGCCCATGAATTTCGTGTTTCATACAAATGAAATGATGTGCGCTTATACATATATAAATGTAACTAGAACGTATTTGGCGTATCACACAGCTTATTCATATATTTAAATTAATTAACTTTTTGCTTGGTGTTATTTTTTGATTTTCAACATGTAGATAACCGTAAATGTGAGTATTTTTTCTAACATATGTAAAATGGTAATTAAAATCCGGCTCCGGCCGGTTTTTGAATTTTAAATCTGGCCAAGTCCGGCCCCGGCCGGATTTAAAAAACCTAAATCCGGTGCATCCCTAATTTGAATATTATAAATCGATAAAGCTTATATAAAAATCTATTTTTTCTGCAGTTATACTTTCAATCCTAGCGGTCTCGCTTATCTTGGAAGCCAGCTGATTTGGACAAACGAAGACATCCACAATCACGTTTTTATTCAATATACAACTTTTCCCGACACAGTTACAAGTATTCCGTTGCCAAATGTAACTAAAAATATTGCTATGGTCACCGCTGATAAATTACATCTCATGAAAAGTACTGTCTTTACAAATATCGATTTAACTTGAATAAATAATTTTGATAACTTGACAAAGATCATTTTAAAAACGACGGAGAAAAAAATAGTTTCAAATATTAAATTTAAAATTTATCTTGTTCATCAGGTCACAACAGCATCTGCACCTCCCTACGACCGTTGTGCAGCGACGTGTGCGTAGTGCTAGGGAATGGTAAACACCGCTGTTTGTGTCCACAAGCATTTGTGCTGCGCTATGGTTATTTGTGCGTAAGAGGTGGATCATTATTTTATATTTTGTTTCGGATATAAATAACATTAAAAATAACTTTAAAAAATGAAAATGTATAAATTCACACATCCAACTGGAATATATGCGTAATTAATTAAATTATTTGCATCTTTTTGGCTTTAACAAACTTTTTCAAATAATTAATATTTTTAATTTCAATTTTTTTACACTAAAATTAAAAATTATTTTTCAATATAATTTTTTTAATAATAATGAAGTAAAAAATTGATATCGCAGCAAAAGGAACCAAAAAGTTGGGAGGTAAGGCTTCGTTTGCTTGTTACGAATATTGCCTCAACGAAGGAATCTGCCATCTCATTGACGAAATTTCTATATGCTTGTATGATTTGGGTGTTTTTTCATAATGAAATTATTGAAAGAAAATTAATTATAAATTACTTATTTGCTTGACGATTATTCAAAAAACTACAGATGATATTAAGATTCTCTTGGTTAATTTTTTTATTTAGATCTTTAAAAGATTTTCATTTAAAAGATTTACTTAATAACAAAGTTGCAGTCTTAACTGTTAACTTTTGTGAATTTTCATGTTAATGTTAGTGTCTGTGTGCATGTATGTGTGTTTAAGTATGTGTGTGTTTATTAATTACAACTTGTAAACTTTGCAGCTGTAACAACGGATTTGTTGGCGACAGATGCGAACAGAAAAGCTTCTACAAACACGACGAAAACAGTTTCGATTCTGATTTCGTATTTAGCAGTATTTTCAGCAATAATGAAACTGTTAAGTTCAATTCCACTTTTAGTAGTGACAAAATAATGATGTCAGGATCTACTAAGAAAAGATCAAGTAGTTCTCTGAATACAGTGATTATTATTTTCGTCGTAATGTTTATGCTTACCACAGTTGGATTCATTTTTTATAGAAAAGGGTGAGATGATTAACGTTAATTGTAATGTTAGGTTTATGATTATATTATTTTAATTATGATTTCGTGTTAATGATGATGTTATAATAATTATGATGTTATGTTAATTATGAGGTTACGTTAATAAATTCCTATGATGTTATGCAGATTATAGTGTTATGTTAATGATGATATTTTGTTAATTAGGAATTCGTTACTTAAAAAATTTTTTATCCGTTTTTCTTAATCTCGTTAATTTATCTCTCAAAATTTTTAAATTTCCTACTTTTTTTTACAATTCATTATTAATTCTATTCTAAAAATTCTTCTATTGTTTCTTATTATAGATCTATTCTATTTTTTTTATTTTGAAAATACATGAAAAAGTGCTTTACCAACAACTTTTTTCAACTTCAACTCTTTACTTCCTACTACTCACTTTAGTTTTTGGCTTGCTTATAGTACTGAAACTACGCTTTCAAAAATTCATGTTGATATTCCTCTTGCTATCGATACTAAAAATCTTACTCTATTTCTTGGTCTTGGCTATTCCTCCGCATTTGGTACTGTCGCGTGTTTCTATGTTCCTCCATTTACTTGGTTACCGGCAGGGGATCTCGTAGTGGGATCCCGTACTTCACATCCGTGGGTCCTGAGGGGGTTTCGTTTGTTGTTGCATGAACGGCACTCCGGTATATCATCAGGAATAGGAGTATCTACTTATCCCAGTTTTGTTGATTGTCATCGACCACTTTAGCTATGCATAATCGTCTGATTGAACCGTTCCACCATTTCATCAGACGGCGGGTGAAGTGGTATCATCCTTGTCTTGTTGGTTCCGAGGATCGGCACAGTTTCCCGACCAGCTGTGACTCAAAATTTTGGTCCTGGTCCGAGTTTGGTCCTAGAGGGACTCTGTACTGGGCGATCCAGTGTGTTACAATTTTCTCCGCAACCGTATGAGCCTCCTTGTTAGGTATCGGGTAAACTGCCGTCCATTTACTGAAGTAGTCTGCGACAACCAATATATACCGGTTGCCTTTTACTGTCTCTGGATAGGGACCAGCGATGTCTAAGGCAATTCGTTCAAACGGCATGCCCATGTTGTAAACTTGGAGTGAACCTCTGGGTCTTCGTTAGGGTCCTTTAACCGCTGCGCAGGTGGCGCAATTTTGGAACCATACTTCGACGATCTGTTGAGCCCGAACCCAATAAAATCTTTTCCGTATCCGGTCCAAGGTTTTATTGACTTCTAAGTGTCTTCCGGTCGACCCTCCATGCATCTCTTTTAGAACGTCATTTTTTTTGCTTCTAGGGACTATTGTTTGCATGGTGTGTTTGGTCCCGTCAGCAGATTCCCACTTGCGCTTCAGTAGTCTTTTTTCTATGCACAAGGAATCCCATTGGGCTCAGTATTTTTTTGATACGGGACCGTGGTCTGCCAAGTCTTGCCACTTCGGCCTTGGTCCCGCTTCTTTTCATTCTATCATGCACCGTAAGTCTTCGTCGGCGCATTGAGCGGCAGCTTATTTCTCCGGTGCCCATCAGCTGTCCGCTGCGAAGCGAATTGTTTTTACCCCCTCTGGTTGTCCTTTCTCTTCCATTCAGCAACAATATTTGCAGCTCGATGGGCATGGTCGACGGGATAAAGCGTCGGAATTGCCATGACTACCTCTCTTGCGGTGCTTAATCTGATAGTTATAAGTCCAGCCACCTGTCTTTCTGGTTTCCTGAAGTATATTAGCCATTTAAGGGCCGCTAGTCTCTGCGGAAGACAAACTCTTGGCTATACAAATATTTGTGTATTTCGTTCCACACACCATGGCTAATGATTCTTTTCGGTCTTCGAGAGCTTCCGGCTGTAGTAAGCCAACACTTTTTCTTCTCCATCGACATCCTGTGATAATACGACGTCTATCCCATGATTGCTGGCATCTGTATTGAAAAGGAAGGTCTTCCCGGGTATAGGGTAGGAGAGAACTGGAGTGGTGCATATTTGCTCCTTTAGCCGGACGAATGCTGCTGCTGCGGAGTCGTTCCAGCCAAATGTTCTATTTTTTCCATCAATTGATGAAGGAGCTTTGCTATTAAAACAAAGTTTTTCATCAAGCGTCGGTAGTAGGTGGCTAGCCCCAAAAAGGAACGTACTTCGTGCTTGTCCTTTTTTCACCATCTCGATTTTGCTTGGGTCGGTTGTTACCCCTTCGGCGGAAACCACGTGTCCCAAGTAAATGACCCAATTAGCGAACAGGCTACACTTCTTTGTGTTGAGCTTCAAGTTTGCTGCCCGTAATCTGTTGACGATTTTCTGCAGGTTTGCGAGGTGTTGTTCGAGTCTTTTTCAGAATGATGATGTCGTCCAGGTTGACCAAACAGGCTTTCTGTTGAGCTCCTGGAGTACAAATTCAATCAGTCGTTCAAACGTTGCAAGGGCATTACACAATTCGAAAGTCATTACTGTGAACTGCCACAAGCCAGCTCCAATTGAAAACTCGGTCTTTTCGCGATCGACTTCTTCGATCTCTATCTGCCGTTAACCACTTTTCAAGTCCAGGGTAGAAAACCAACGTGAGCCAGACAACGTCAAACCTTGGTAATAAATAACTGTCTTACTTGGTTACCTCGTTCAACTTTCTATAGTCCACGCAAAACCGGCTACTACCACTGGCGAAGTTCATAGACTTGCTGATGGCTCGGCGATTTCCTGCTTCCGCATATCTGTTATTCTATTATCATCTCGGTTACCTCTGTTTGTTTGGACAGGGGAAGGCGTCGCGGACCTTGTTTAATCGGTTCGGAATCTTGCGTGTTGATCTTGTGCGTCAATCGTCACCGTTTCTGTTAGGCATATATAAATCTTGTCGGCGCCATACTATCTTTGACTTCTGGGGAGACTGTTGGGTATGCCAGCAGCGTCAGTTTCTCAATATCTTGGGCTCAATATCTTGTGCTGACTCTCCAGACTTTTGAACACGGTGTTCCAACTGTGTACGAGAATATCCGTGTTGTGTTTGTTCCCGTAGGTTATGGAAATATTTTGCACAAATCAGTTCTCACGGATTCATGTCTCGTACTCGAGCACATTAGTTAGAATCTTCATCTTTAGTCTTGACTGGTTCAATTTTGTAACTTTTATTGTTTCGTACGACAAAGTTCTATTAAAAATATGATGTAACCAGGATGTCGGAGTTGGAAGAAAAATATCTGATATGGTTCCTCAATAAAATTCTAACTACGACTCTGGGTTTTGACGCTTGAAAAAATTTTTCAACTTTTGCATCATAATTTTACTTAAATATCAATACTAAATAAAAAATACTTTAATGAAGATTTAAAATCGTGCCATGATTTTATTTGTTTTAAAAATGTTTATTTTTAAAAAACATTTTGTGAGTCATAATTTGACTCACAAATTATGTGAGTCGGAAATATCTGAAGGATTAGAGTCGGAGTTGGATATTTTTTTATTAGCATTTATTTTTAATATTAAATCGATACACATATTTATTTTCTAAAAAAAAACAAATTTAAAAATATTTTTAGAATAAAAAATAAAAAAATTTCTAAAATTATGACACTTAGAAATTTCCAGCCCGTCAAAAAATTCCGATTTCGTCACTCTGATTGTAACTGGACTATATTCATCGACAATTATCTGGAAAATCCATAGATTTTAAACATTAATGCATTATATAGGCCTATACATTTTTGGTCTTTACAGTGTACAAAATGCAATAGCTGAAAAGAAAGTTGCATACAAGCAATGGCAAAAATCAAAGTCTGTAGATGATCATAAAATTTTCCGTGAGAACAACTATGCAAGACGTCAAGTTGCACTGACACGGACATCACTGTAGAGGAGCTTACAGAAGCTCTGAAAGCTATGAAGGATGGAAAGGCAGCAGGGCCCTCTGGACTCACAAATGACATTATCAAAGCATCTGGTACTGCAGGTATCCAAACGTTACTACAACTTTGCCGTGAAATCTGGAAAAATTGCTCAATGCCAACTGAATGGAACTATAGCATGACAGTCCCGCTATACAAAGGCAAAGGTGATCATCATATCGGGGTATATGTCTGTTAAAACACTCCTTAAAAATTGTCGAAAAAATCATTGAAAGAAGATTAACGTCGTGCATCACAATCGGAAATTATCAATTTGGTTTTCTAGCGGGGAAATCAACAATTGATGCAATTCACATCCTTCGGCAACTGCAAGAGAAGTACCTCGCAAAGCATCAACAACTATCACACATTTTTGTAGACCTTGAAAAAGCATTTGATCGAGTTCCCCCGTGAAGCAATCAGGTGGGGTCTACGTGGACCACTCATTCCAGAATATCTTGTTCGACTTGTGATGGAAATGTATACGAATACTAAGACTCTTGTCAGCACAACGGTTGGAAACACAGATGCATTTGACATCGACGTTGGAGTTCAACAAGGCGCGATTCTCAGTCCACTGTTATTTATAACTGTGATGGAAGAAATCACAAAACCGATACGCACTGGTGACATTTGGAATCTAGTATATGTTAATGATATCGTTTTAACAGCCACGTCTGAGCAGAATGCAGCACAGATGTTTGAAGATTGGAACACCAGACTCGCCGATCATGGATTCAAAGTCTACTGGACAATGGCCCTGTTCAGTTTGTAAAGCTGGTGTAGGTAACAATTCATATCAGCAGTGTAACCAGTGGTGTCACAAACGTTGTTCAAAAATAATTGGTACTTTATCTAAAGTGTCCAATTTTGTTCGTCCTGTTTGACATCAATCCACAACAACAAATTCGAAATAGCACTGTTTTTGAAGCCATTAAGGTAGAGAATTGAAGCCATTAAGGTAGAGAAAGTCACATCGTTTCAATAACTAGGAGATGTTCTAGATTGTACTGGAACAGCTGAAGCTGCCGTTCGAGCACGCATACGTGCAACCTGGAATAAATGGCATCTCCTTGCCTCTATATTGATGCGGCGTGATATCCCACTACCACTACGATCAAGACTTTATAAATCTGTGATACGTCCGGTGTTGCTATATGGTGCAGAAACATGGCCAATGACAACCAAACTGGAACAACAACTTCAACGAACCAACATGATAGATGCAACGAATTAGTCTGAAGGACCACATCAAATCTACCGAAATCCTGCTTCGTGCTGGTTTAGATGATATAAAGGACGAATGCCGGCAACACCGTCTGCGGTGGTTTGGTCATGTCAAACAAAGTGGAAACAGTGCCATAACTTCTCTTGCAAATGTTGAAGTACCTGGCACTCGTCCCAAAGGCCGTCCAAAGAAGTCCTGGTCGCAAACAGTCGAGCAAGATATGAAAGCTCTAAATTTAAATGAAATGGATACAACTGATCGTCTAATTTGGCACCAAAAGTTGATGGCAAAGAAAACAACGTCCTACCTCGGGAAACCGGGTCTCTGGACGCAAAACGAAGATTGATTGATTGATTGATTGATTGATTGATTGATTGATTGATTGATTGATTGATTGATTGATTGATTGATTGATTGATTGATTGATTGATTGATTGATTGATTGATTGATTGATTGATTGATTGATTGGATTGATTGATACATTTTTGGTCTTTGAAAGAAGGTTTTTTGACCACCAGCTATTTACAATATCGGTATGCATAATTATGCTATGATTATTTTAACATAATTTAATAAAAACTAAAAAAATTATTGTTCTAATAGATATAAAATTTATTATTTTAACATAGTTATTTTGAAATTATTATTTCAACATAGATTATTATTTTAACATAGATATCATAAAGTTCTGATGGACCGATCACTAAAGAGCCGGCTCGTTAGGCCTGAAAGAGTGTTTCTGAAAAAAACAATATCGTATGAAAATGATTTGTTCAAGGACGAATCCGAGGTTGTTGAAATATTAATAAGTTGTACATTACAATTTATAACGTTATCAAATAAAATGTTAATTTTCAACACTGTCATTATTAGCTACGTATAACCTAGCAAAAATCACCGTGCAGTAATGTAATTAAATATTCAGATAAATATTATGAGAAATGTAATAATTACAATTATGATGCTTCTCGATGATACTGTGACGTTCATTCTGACGAGAATAACAATAATTACTCGGACGTACAAGTGAAATGAAAATGAATCGCATTTTTAGTGGCAATCGAACTTTTGAAGCCTATATTAATTTGACCCAAGTTTAACTAATTTTACTTTATTTAGTATTTTAAAGAATTTTTTTCATTTATGCAAATTTAATTTAATTTGGTTCCAACAAACGTTAATAACTCAATATTTTAAATTAAAAATTAAAGTTTGTGGTTTGAAAAATAATATTTATTCAATTTAATCAGCTCGAATGTTTAATGCGATCAACCAATGTATCCAAATGAAATTTAAAAGCACTTTGTTGTTGCTTTTAAGAAAATTTGAACAAAAAACTTCAGATCAAATTTTAAATGTCCAAAAAAAACAGCCAATTTTTTATTTAATTTTTGAACTTCTTGCATTAACAGCCATCGTCAAAAAGATTGATCAAATTCAACTTCAAGTGGGATGCACCATCAACGTCAACTTAGGCCGTCCTGTCTTCATAGTCAATTTCTTGTTAATGTTAAAGGGTTGTTGTTGAAATGTCGTTGTACAGATGAATAAAAAAATATAAATATATATATATATAAGTGTTTTGCATTGTTTATTCTTAATTATTATTTATGGTTCAGTTTGTGATTTATTGCATAAAAACCAAATTTAAAGTGTTAATTTCAAGTGATTGTTTTTTTTGTTTTTTGTTATTCGTTGAGAATAAATAAATCACACAACAATAGTTACAAAATTTCATTCACATTGATATACATAATATATATATATATATATATATATATATATATATGTATATATGTATATATATATATATATATATACATATATATATGTATATATATATAGTCAAATAATGTATTAAACCTTGTAAAATAAAAAAAGATAATAAAAAAAACAAATATAAATAAATTAATCACATATCCTAATCAATAAATTGACGATAATATCGATACATACTGATAAAAAAAATTGAATATATCCCAATCTCACAAATAGCCAATGTCACATCAAGTATCATTTGCCCTCCAATCATACATAAATCTGGCATTCATAAGATAAGTATCCAACTTTTTTTTAAAATCATTCACCCTATCAGCATTTACAATATCGACATCCAAATTGATCTATTGATAAAGTATTGTTTCCTCAAGTTCTTATGTAATGGAAAAGTTGTCAATTTCATTACGTGTCCTCTAGTTCGTCCCCCAGCTTTCACTTGATTAACTGTTCACCCAAGTAATCAATCTATCATTCAATCTGTACTCTTTCATTTTTTTAACTAAAATACCATGTGACACTCTATCAAAAGCCTTCTCAAAATCCGTGTACACAACATCAATCCTGTAGCCATCGTCTAGTGCCTTAGTCTAATCATCCAGAAGTTTCAAGAGTTGCATTACCGTTGATTTACCTTTTACAAAACCATATTGTCTAGGGTCAATCAAATCATTATCAGTTAAATACAACATCAAATCATCCTTAATGACCGATTCTATCAGTTTACAAATAACACTGGTCAATGCCACTGGTCTATAATTTCTTGCATCTTTTTTATCACCCTTTTTATAGATAGCTGTTACAACACATTCCTTCCATATACTAGGTATGACTCCCCATTGATATGATATACCATATAGAGCAGACAAATAATTACAAACAGACTCTTTACATTCGAATAAAATCTTTCCATGTAGATTATCTGGACCTGACGATTTGTTAACATTCAAATTTTTTAATTTGTCATAGACAACTGTAGGTTCAAAAGTTATTTCGTTCATTTTTGATCCAATGAGCTCAGATTTCGAAACCGCCTGATAGGGTTCATCACGCAGATCATCCACTGTCTCATAAACTGATGAAAAAAAGTCAGCCAACATATCTGCCATTTCCTGTTGATCAGTTACAATTCCTTTCTTCTTACCATCTTTATCCACCCGATACAAACCATCCAAATAAAAACTGTCTTTTCTATTACTGCCTATGTGTTTCCAAAATACCTTCTGATTAATCTTCACAATTTTAGCTAAGCTGTCTAAATAATTCTGTTTAATTAACATGATTCCTCGTTTGACTTTGTTTTTAATCCTTTTGAAGTCTTCATACAGCGTACTATTTCTATTTTTCATATATCTTTTCCATATCAAATTTTTTTCTCTATTAATTTTAATAAATGAGTTGGTAACTTAACTGAATAGTTGTTCTTAGTTAAAATTTCAGTCTTAAGTGGCACATATTTATTCACAGCCATGTTAAAAACCATAACAAACCTATCCCAAATCTCATCTAACACAATCTGCTTATTCCCATTACCTTTTATTGAATTACCTATTTTAGGTATCGATAAATTTGTAGAAATAAATTGATTCATAAGACAATAATTTCCTTTTTTATAATCAAACATTTTATTTTCTTTTAAATGTGTTATTACCTCTGTATTCACCACCAAAGAAAAACTCAACATCAGATGATCACTTTTACCCACAAGCGAATTATATTCGATATCTTGTATTAAATTTTGTTGTACCAATAGCAGATCCAAAATATTCTGTTTCTGTCCATTCTTATATCTTGTTGGGGCATCAATGAACTGAACCAAAAAACAATAATTTACACAATCTATAAACTTTCACTGAAACGACTTTAAACCTCCACTAACAGACATTGACTCCCAGTTTATTGTAGTAATATTAAAATTACCAGTTAAAAATTTATTACCACCATTGCCTATAAATATCTTTATTAAATTTAGGAGTTCATCATTATTCTTCAAACAGGAGTTTAGGCTTCGGTATACTGCTAAGAATGAAATTTCCTTTTTAAAATTCAACAAGCGAACTGCAATATATTCTTCAAATTTGCTTTCAAAATCAACAATAACTGAGGAGAGTGTGTCTTTAACATAACAGAAAATACCTCTGAATCCAGCCTTCATAAAATTACAGCTATACAACCTGAACCCTTTAATTTGAAATTCCTGCAGTCGATAACTACCTGTCAAGTTCTTTGGGTTTGTCTCAACAAATATTAAAATATGCATCTTCTTATACATCGAATCAACTAAATATCTAATTTCACCCATCTTATTACAAATAGAGTCTACATTAGAATAGACAATTTACAATCTCTGTCCTTATTTCCATAGCTCAATCTGACCCTATCAAAACAATCATTCTCATTACCTAATTTGTGTCTGAACTTTTTCCCCTTCTTTCTATCTTTACTAACCTCATACTTTCAGGCAATCCCCTTACCATGTATATATATTCCTATTATTATTATTCTTTATTATTATTCTGATTATTCTTCTGTTTTTCTTTTGCTTCCTCTACAAGCTTTTTCCTCTCTTCCCCATGTTCTTTATTCAAATCATGGGATACACCTATTTTAGTTAACTCAGTTTCTAAGTACTTTATCTTACACAAATTCTCCATTATCAAATTTTTTTTACTTCTATCATTGAATTTAATTAAAACAGGCCTTCGTCTATCTCCAGAGCTCTTTAACCTGTGATATTTTGTTATATCACACTCTGTAACAAGACCATCTGAAAAACCGATCAAAAAGACAAAATTCTTTTTTTATCATTCAATCTGTTTATCTCAGCAGATTCTTCCTTATTTTTACATATACCAAAAATTATAATGTTATTTGCCCTATCTTGTGCATCACATCTGGTTTTAATATTTTCATTAGTTTTTTCTATATTTTTGCACGCAGACTGTACTTCTTTATTAACCACTTTTACTTTTTTAAGATCTCTTTGCCTACTGCATTAACCCAATCATTTTTAAAATTCTCTATAGTATCATTTACTTTTTTTCCATTAGCTTAATACTACCTGAATTAGTTTCTGTATTTTTAATTGAAACATTCATAACCTTGATGGTTTCTAATAATTTATTGTACCCCTCCTGTAAGACTGTCAATTTTGCATCCATCGCCTCTTGTTTTTCTTTAATGTCACCAAAACTTCTAGCATATTCCAAATTACTTGTACTCACACTCAAACAATTACTATGACTCCATATAAAATTGGATATTTTGGCTATTTTTTTAAATAAATCTTCTGTTATTCCACCACATTTTGGGTGGCAGAACACCCTATATGTAATGCAGCATAAATTATCAGCTGTACAAACCTTATTACACTCACAGCAGAGACTCTTATCCTTATTAGCCATCTCAATTATCAATTACTCTTTTTCTCTCTTCCCATCCCCTTCTATCTTTGATATATAATTTATATATCAAATATACATTCTCAAGTGCGAGAACAATCAATCAGACAAACACTGACAAATGACAACACCCAACAAGTGATTGGCGTGTATCCTACAACGGTTGCACGAACCCTTGTCGTATTAGCCTCTCAACGCCTCTAGCCGTGCACTTATGTTAGTATGTATTCTTAATTAAATAATAATGTTAAATAACACATAACCGTTTTCGAAACTAATTTGCTGGAGAATACAACTCTGCTATACCAAAAAACAACTTTTTATAAAAAAATTATCAAGAATAATGTATATATGTAATTATATATGTATATATTGAACATGTATATGTAAATATATATATATATATTATACATATAATACATATACATATATATATATACATATATGTATATATATATATATATATATATATAGTATAACAAGTACAATTACCTTCCAAGTAATAAGTTTAATTTAAATATGTATATATATATATATATATATATATATATATATATATATATATATATATTGAATATGTATATGCAAATATAGATATATATATACGAATATTTATATGGCGCTAATTAAAAAGTTTTTCAAAAGCGCTTACAAATAAAATAACATACAAAATAGTCGAAGACAAACGTTCATCAAACAAATAAAAAAAATAAACATCAATGATTGACGCTACAGCGAAAATAAATATGTTTTCATCATCTTCTTTAATTTCGCAACACCCAGAGCAGTGTCTCGTAGGTCTTTGGGAAGACGGTTCCAAACACGGCAAAGCTTCTAGCTCTAAGTTTCGTTTGAGCCAACGGCACCGACAGATAGTTTAAATCGTCCGAACGCAGGCCGAGGGAAGATGATGCTTTCGACTGACATTTGTTCTTCAAATACTCTGGTGCGGAATTATTCACACTCTTGAACACTATTGTGCAAACTTTAAAAATTATTCGCTTGTCGACCGTCAATCAATGAATACTCTGGTGCGGAATTATTCACACTCTTGAACACTATTGTGCAAACTTTAAAAATTATTCGCTTGTCGACCGTCAATCAATGAAGCTGAGCAAGAATCGGAGATACATGATCAAATTTATACGCACCATGAACAATTTTTGCTGCACGGTTTTGAATAGACTGTAACATTCTAATAGATTTATCGGGTAAACCATAATACATACTGTTGCAGTAGTCCAACCGAGAGGGAATGAACGCATGCATTAAATCTTCAATCGTGCTTTTGTTCAAGGATTTTCTTATAAAACGTATTTTATGTAATTGAGCAGCGCACACTTTAGTTAGCAGTTTGATGTGATCAACAAACGTCAATTTTGAGTCAATGATCATTCCCAGATTAGTGGCATTACTGCTACACTCAATATTATGTCCATCTAGAGAAACAAAATCAATCTAGACTCGCGACTGCTGCTGCCATGTGCCTACTTTCATCAGTTTAGTTTTATCCTGGCTGAGTTTCAGTCGATTTGATAACATCCACACACTCACCTCAGTCAAACAATGCACTAATCTAGTAACAGCATCTTGAAATTTATCGGCAGGACAGCTAACAATCATCTGTATGTCATCTGCGTAGGCATGACAAAACACTCCAGATTTATCCATTATTTCTAGTACGTCGGACGTATATAAAAGAAACAGTATCGGTCCCAAACCGACCCTTGTGGTACACCAGATGTGACAACCTCTGTTATTGACAACTCATTGACAACCCTAACCCTAACCCTAACCTGCTGTGTTCTTGACGTGAGATAAGAGTTGAACCATGAATGAGCAACACCCGTGACCCCAAAACTGAAGTGGATTCGTTTCAACAGTATCTCATAGTCGACGCAATCAAAAGCCGCGCTCATATCTAGGAACGCTAGCAATGAAATATCCTGTGCATCCACAGCCTTGTATAACACCGACGATATCTGCAGCAGAGCAGTTTCCGTTGAGTGGAACTGTCTGTAGCCTGATTGATGAGCAGACAACAAGTTGTTACGCGCCAGATACTTCAACAGCCCCCGAGCAACGATACGTTCGATGACTTTTGAAATAAACGAAAGATTGGTTATTGGTCTATAATTATTTTAATCGCTCACATCCAGATCTGTTTTTTTAAGAATAGGTACAACTATGCCATGTTTGGCCATTTTAGGGAATTTTCCTGTACTTAGACATAAATTAATAAGTTTTGTTAAAAATCTGGAAAAGAGGAGTATATGCTTTTTAAGAAAATGTGTTGGCAGACTGTCTAAGATACACGTTTTTGTGGGAGATTCACGTATTACCTTCACAACATCATCTTCAGTACATAATGCGAATGACGAAAATGTTTCACCATCCTTGGTTTGCCTGCTTGGAAGTAATGGATCAACACTACCTGATGTAGCCTGTCGAACCCTGTTTATTTTATCTCTAAAGAATTGAGAAAAATCATCACTTTTAAATTTCCTGTTGTCATCATCGCAATTGTTGTGAAGGTTTTGCAAAGCATTTTGTTAACGTCATTCCACAATCGCTTTGGATTACCTTTATTTTCGTCCAAACGAGTTTGCCAAAACATATTTTTTTTTCAGTAAAAACACGGTTTTTCATCTTGATAGCATTGACCCATTCTTGTCTGCTACTATTTAATAAAGTTCTCCTGTAACATCTTTCCAATTTTCGACATTTCCTCTATAGGTGCCTGCATTCTTCATCAAACCATGGGACATTCAAATCACATCGACTCTCAACCATATGCAATGGTGCAACCTTATTGACAATATTACAGACTGTGCTATTGAACAGTTCAAACATCTCATCAACGTCCATGCCATCACAGGGTGTGCTTATAGGGGAATCGTGAATAAGCCTAATGAATTCATCATCCCTCACTCGCTTCCACGACCGCACCATCTACATAATTCGTACAGATTTTTTATACTTGAAAGGCAAACAGACTTTAACTAGGCCATGATCGGAATAAATTCCACTTGGAAAAACTTGAGTTTCAGAGACAAGAATATCACAATGAATGGCAATCAGGTCTAATATGCTACCTAGTTCGTGAGTCGGTTCATTAATAACATTTCTAATATGAAATAAATCGAAAATTTCAAACAGTTAACGTGTGCGGGCTGTCACGTCTATCAACACGGACATTAAAATCACCTGCAACAACTAAATTGGAAGTTAATATTGTCATACTCTCCAAAACAGATGACAGTTCCTTAAAAAACATAGGAGTGACAGGCAAAGACCCAGGCCTGTAGATGGCCAGGAATAAGTAGTCGTTCCGATTGCATATAATTTTTATTGCAATGGCTTCAAAAGTATTTAGTTGTGATAGTTCCAATTTTCTAAATTTAAAAATAGACCTAAAGTAAATTATTAATCCTCCATGATTAGCATCATATGGTCTAAGGTAATCAACATAACTGTACTCTGCAGGTTTAGCAGATAAAACAGATATTTCGTCGTGAGATCTATGCCAGGTTTCAGTTAAAATAAGAACATCAATTTTATCTCTAATTATTTCATTCACATCATCAGATTTTTTTATAATTGACCTTATATTCAACAAACCTAATCTGAGTTTTTCGTCTTTTTGATCGAAGTCCTTGATTTTTCTGCCGCTCGTCTTTCTTTCTGAATCATTTATATTTTCATCACCATTTTTTTCTGAAATCAAATCTAAATCAATTTTTCCGCTGGTGGAAATTTGACAATTTTCTATATTCCAACAGGCCCCCTCACTCTGTATAAAAAACCTTCTTTGTCCGAGTTTTCCTTCAACTTTGCCTCATCTGTCAGGGTTTTGATTTCCTTTCGCTGTTCAATCGTTAACTCATGATTCAACCCCACATGACGAAGAGTAGCATCTAACGATTTCATTTTGAATAAATTTTTCATAATGGTGTTTTTTATTTTAATATCTTCAAAACATATCAGTAACGGTCGGGCCACACCGTCACTTTTTTTTCCCAGTCTTGCCAACCTCGTTATGTCTGTATCAACAACCTCATCTAACAGATGTTTTAAGATTTTCATCACCGCTATTTTGTCATTACCTGTAGTCTCCTCAGCTAGTCGAAACATTATTAAATTGCTTTCTCTCGTCTTCAAGTCATTGACATCATTCAATGTTTTTGAACAGTCTTAACCCCGCTTCCAATGACTTCGACATTCTTTTTAACTTCACGACTCACAATATTGAATATGTATATGTAAATATAGATATTGAATATGTATATGTATATATATATATATTGAATATGTATATGTAAATATATGTTGAATATGTATATGTAAATATGGATATTGAATATGTATATTGCAGCATCTTCGGCATCAGTTAACTTCCAAATAAACTTTTCGATTTTTCTAACGGTTGATTGTAAATCATTTTCAAGTTTCTGTAGTTCCAAACCAAAATTTTTTCCAGCTTTTTTCGATATTCCTATACCATCTTCGGTGTTCAAACTGATATGTTAGGTTTGTGCCCAGATGCTCAAATATAGGGTAACGTGGGGCAAAACGCCGCATGGGGTAAAAAGCCTAAATTCAGGTTGCACGAAATTTGTTTAAGACCGAAAGTTTTTCAATTAATTTTTAAAAATTAGAACGTACCCTTATTATTTTGAATATAAAACCATGCCGTTTCTCCACTTGTTTTTTCTGTTTCAGAGTTTTATATAATTTGCGAGTGAAAAATTGGTCGTGTTATAAATTTTGTGTTAGGGTTTTTAATTAATTTCTTGATAATAAGATCGTTATTTGTGAAGAAAAGAGGTTTTTTATGAAGAAAAATCATTTTCACATATACAAAGTAACTTCTAATCGGTTGGAACAATTTTTTGTATTTTTAAATTAAATTTATTCTTAACATTGTCTATGGGGGTAAAACGCCTCTGTAATTTAGGGGCAAGAGGCCCAATTTACATTTATTGAACTATTTAACAAATTTCAGATATTTGTATGTAGGCAGCTATCCTTGTAGTTAATTGTTAAAATGTATTGAAATTTATGTTTTATGTGTAAATTAATTTCATGTATTTTAATTTTTAAAGGTATAAAATGGTCAGAAATTATGTAAGAAAATCTGCACGATGCTCAACTTAGGATGGTGAAAGTTAGAAAAAAGCTTTGGATGCTCTAACCAATGGCCAGTTATTTAGTAAAGTTATCAGAGAATATGGAGTTCCTGCAAGAACTTTAAGAAGACATCAAAAAGCCATGACAACATCTCCGGGAACTATAAAGCTTAGTCGGTTGTCAAGCGATCTAAAGATTTGACTCTTTGAGGGACATGTTCACAAATTTTTTGTAATGATTTCACAAGATTTCAATGAATAAAATGCTAAAATGTAACATTTGGCATCATAATTCCTGTATAGGGCTGGAAGAAGACTATCGTAGAACTTTTATTTGTATCAATTGGGACAATAATTAACAATAAAAGTAAAATTTTTATATTCTTTTTATCTAATTTTTATTTTATGTACAATAAAACTGTTAACATTTTTTTACATTTTCAGATTTGAAACTATTTTTAAGGCTTATTTTAATAGTTTTTCTACACAGGCCTTTTGCCCCATGCATGGGACAAAAAGCCCATTTTATAGAGGTCTACGGTTTCTATTATAAAACATAGGAAACCTATGTTTGAACAATTTAATTTGTAAAATTAGATAAAGAACATATTAATCAAGTAAAATAATTACTAATGTTGTAGAAATAATCCATTTTTTAGATGTAGTCACTCATCAAAGGCTTAACTATGGCTTCTTGCCCCACCCTACCCTATGTATGCTGTGCCTCTACTTTACTTTGTTGATTCTTTGTTTATTTAAAGTGAATACTTAGTTTTACAATCTTCAACATCGTTAAATGTAACACTGTTACGTGTTTTCATTATCGATGATTCCTTTGTTTCTAAATTTATTGGCAAAAAGAATTCCAATTGCCCGTTGTTGAATATTTATTATCGGATGTCTTTGTTCAATAAGCATTGATTTGAATAGTCGTAAATTATAATGGTGTTATTTTAATGTAAGATTTCAACATTGTGGTCCAGGATTTGTCTAATAATTTTAGTTTTGTCTTTCTGTTTCATGTGACGATGATGAAAAATCGATTCGAAATATTGAAAACTGAACCAGAAGCCGATCAAAGCTGAAAAAGCAGTGATATATATATATATATATATATATATATATATATATATATATATATATATATATATATATATATATACTCTCCCGATTTATTAGTATTTATCAACTTGTAGTTGAAGTCTTAGTAAATTTTTATCGATAAGATTTAGTCTGTTTAATATTGAAGCTTTATTTTTATTAACAAACATTTTATCAAAATTATTGCAGATAGATAGATCTATTTCGACGTTAAACCGTCATCGTCAGTGCATTATTTGTAAATTTATTAATTGGTATTATTATATTTTAATATTATTAAAAATATATAAAAAAATAAATTCGAAAAAGAAACATGAAATTTTAATGAAAAATTTTAACATTATTTATTATTCAATTATTTTTGTGTTGTCAAGAATTTGGCGGGTTATTGGAGTTCCATGTGTTGATTGCAAATGAGATTTGTCGGCTCATTTTTGTGTATGCATTGTGAGACGTCTTGATAGTGAAATGGTCGTAACACCAATATACGAATGTTGAGGACGCGCACAGTCGTCATAAGGTCATTTAAATTCTTGTTTAACATGATTACGCTTCAAAGTAAAATCGTCAGTTGTTCTTTGAGACCAATTGTGATGTCAACAACAACACAAAAATAATTTATCAAAACACCAACCTAATACATCTAAAAATTGCAGAAGCTGTCCTAAAAGATATCAACAAACCCAAAATAAATATCCCACAAAGAATAATAACATCACTACCAACTCGACGCCTGATTACTAACTTCAAAGAAACTATATAAGCCAACCTGCACTGAAGATGATTTATGAAAAATTGAAATAAGGCCTTATCTGCAAGATGAATTTTGATAAGAACAGTTTCATTAAATTTTCATGATAAATTTGAATAATTGTATTTTTAATAAATTGAAGATTTCCAGAAAATTATAATAAGGAAAATTGAAAAAATAAAAAAACAAACTTTAAATTGATTAATGCCAACAACATTGCTGTATAAATGTTTGAAGTAATTGATATTTTAATGATTTTTTACGATCAAACGTCCTACTATAGACACATTTTTCAATGTCTGTCATATCCATATTATATATATCCATGATTAACCGTTTAAAAAAATCGAAAAGTTAAATTGGAAGTTAACTAACGCCGAACTTACTGTGATTTTCATCAATAATTGCATATATATATATATATATATATATATATATATATATATTTTGTTAAATTTATTTGCCCATTTTGCATTTATCAACTTTTTTATTATGGACTCAACACAGCGTAGTTTTTGACATTCATATTTATTGTGAAATTGTGACATATTAGAAGCTGACAACGTTGTTTCGGCTAGGTAGCCATCATCAAAGCCTAAAACCAATGAAATATAAGAAATTTAATTAAAATAAATGAGAATTAAACGAATTATGTAAATTATTTGGCGGATATGACAGATAAGTTATTAAAAATAAAATTGGAATTGAAAGTGAAGTTAAAATGGTACCTTGCCAAGGATGTAACCTAAAAGATAAATTTATTACTAAAACATGAAATTAAATAAAAGAAATTAAATAAAAAAATTAAATTAAATAATATATATATATATATATAGATATATATATTTCAAAAATTCAACACTACTTTCAACATTGTTCAACTTTTTTATATTTCTTTTTAATTTATTAATTTCAGAGAAATTAGACATTTTATTGTTTTTTAAAAATTTTTATTAAATAAATTTGCAAATAGCTATTTCGAGTTATAGTTTCAGTGCATTATATATAAGGTATGTAAGATATTTGATATAAAAGAACAAGTAATTATTAATTTATATAAATTATTTAATTAAAACAGAAAATAAATTTAATAACTATAAACAATATAAAACGCGATTTTTAAAATATTAACGGCAAGATTGTTTATATTATGGTTGTTAAGGTAAATATCAACGCTCAGCCGAGAAGAGCGAAATAATTTATTTAATTAACTACATATTATTAATATTATTTTTACAATATTTAAAAACGTTATTATTATTATTAACGTTATTATTATTATTATCATCGCTGTGGTTCTTCTTGCTTCTTGTGATGATGTTCCACTTGCAAGTGATATTTGCGCTGTGGGTTGTGGCGTTGATATCTACAGTGTTGGCACTGTTGTTGTTGTTGTTGATGCTGTTGTTGTTGTTACATCAAAATAATGCAATTACCAACAACGTTCCAAACATGTTTTCTGTTTTAATTAAATAATTTATATGAATTAATAATTACTTGTTCCTTCTTATCAAATATCTTACATACCTTATATATAATGCACTGAAGATGAGTTATCTATAACTCAAAATAGCTATTTGCAAATTTATTTAATAAAAATTTTTAAAAAACAATAAAATGTCTAATTTCTCTAAAATTAATAAATTAAAAAGAAATATAAAAAAGTTGAACAATTTTGAAAGTAGTGTTCAATTTGTAAAATGTTGCGTTAACAACAGTCTGTTACCAAATATATATATATATATATATATATATATATATATATATATATATATATATATATATATATATATCAATCTTCGTTTTGCGTCCAGAGACCCGGATTCCCGAGGTAGAACGTTGTTTTCTTTGCCATCAACTTTTTGTGCCAAATTAGACGATCAGTTGTATCCATTTCATTTAAATTTAGAGCTTTCATATCTTGCTCGATTGTTTGCGACCAGGACTTCTTTGGACGGCCTTTGGGACGAGTGCCAGGTACTTCAACATTTGCAAGAGAAGTTATGGCACTGTTTCCACTTTGTTTGACATGACCAAACCACCGCAGACGGTGTTGCCGGCATTCGTCCTTTATATCATCTAAACCAGCACGAAGCAGGATTTCGGTAGATTTGATGTGGTCCTTCAGACTAATTCGTTGCATCTATCATGTT